TTCACGTATTCAGCAAGTTCTTGAATATGTATTATGCAGCAGGAGCTGAGAACACTACTTCCCAAGAAGAGTTCATTGAAAGGACATGGTGAGTTTGGAAGGCAGTGTGGGGTGGCCTGGCGAGGGGTGACAAGTGAGCCAGAGGCCAGGGAGCTGTGGGAGGAAGGGCAGGTGTGGAGGCCATGCCTGCAGTCTGGCCAGGTAGGAAGGTGACGGGACCACTCAGCTCTGTGTCCCGGGCCCCTGGAGGACCGGGACGGCGACACTCATTGTCAGCATGAGGGCTGGCCGTGTTCACTTGGGAAACAGGCTACAGGGAAATAGCTCAAGAGTTTAAAGATTTTATTTTGAGAAAGCGCGTGAGCAGGGCGAGGGGCAGAGGGAGAGAGAGAGAGAGAGTCTCAAGCAGACTCCGTGCTGAGCGCAGACCCAGACGCAGGGCTCGATCCCATGACCCTGAGATCATGACCTGAGACGAAACCAAGAGTCAGATGCTCAACCAACTAGGCCACCCAAGCACCCCAAAATGGCTTGAGTTTATTGTATAAATGAAATGTTGTGACCATGGAGTGAAGACAAGATGTGGAGGCAGGCAGTGCTCCTCAAACTGGGAGCCATGGCCTCCTGGCACCTCAGGAAGGTGTATGGATCCAAAGAGGAGAAATATTAACTTCACTTTGAGGATAAGTAGAAGGAGGTATTTTTCCAGTTATAATTCACAATGAAAAGACATGAGGACAGAGTAAGACGCTGGTTTAAGACAGTATTTCTTATGAAGTTTTCCCACCAAAAGGGATGCAGGGTGGGGGGCGGGGCGCCTGGTTGGCTCAGCTGGTTGAGCCACTCTTGATCTCGGGGTTGTCATTTGAACCCCATGTTGGGTATAGAGATTACTTAAAAATAAAATCTTAGAAAAAGCGGGGGGACACCTGGGTGGCTCAGTCATTAAGCGTCTGCCTTCGGCTCAGGTCATGATCCCAGGGTCCTGGGTTTGAGCCCTGAGTTGGGCTCCCTCCTCAGCGGGGAGTCTGCTTCTCCCTCTCACACTCCTCCTTCTTGTGTTCCCTCTCTCCCTGTCTCTCTGTCACATAAATAAAATCTGAAAAAAAAAGAAAAAAAAGGATGCAGGGTTTTTTGACATTTGGAGCCCAACGTGGTGTGCACTAGCTAGCGTCTGCCTCAACCTTTGGTGCTAAGCGCCCACGTTGCAGAAAGGTGCTGAAGCTTGGCAGAAGAGCTGAGCTTTCCGGCCCCAGCCTGAGCTCTCAACTGCTGGGCCTGAGTTATCAGCTGCTCCCCCAGGTGGGCCATCATGAGCTCCTGGGCTGTGCACAGTGTGCTCAGGAGCCCTGCAGGTAGGACCTGCCCTCCAGGTAAACTGGGGCAGGAGTTCTGCTAAGTTGGTGCTGTCCCGGATAGTGTCTGCCTTTCCTATGTGCCCTGTGACCCAGGGCATTTCCTTGGGCAAGTGATCACCCGAAGGTCTGAATCATCTATGAAACAGAGTACTAAACCTACCTTGGAACACTTCTGAGAATTAAGTGTGTGTATAACATGCTTCACACAGGGCCTGGCGCACTGGTTCAGTCAGTCAGAGATGGTTTGGAAAATGAAGGATTTACATTACAGCAGGAAGTGGGGGCACCTGGGTGGCTCAGGCAGCTACGTGTCCGACTCTTGATCTCAGCTCAGGTCTTCACTGAGCTTGGCGGAGAGTCTGCTTGGAAGATTCTCCCTCTGCCCCTACCCCACCTCGCTCTCTCTCAAATCAATCAATCACAGCAGAAGCCACCATCCGACACATCTTGACCACCTGGGTAACCTCAGAGTTGCATCCAAGGGCCCAATCTGGGCCTTGCTTGCACTCCAGCTGGCACATTTGCATGCCAGGGCCTCACCCCAGTCCCCTCCGGGGTTCCTCCTGTCCAGTGCCGTTAGGGACCCCTGAGCCCCCTCCCTCAGCCTCCCTGGCCCATGACATCCCCTGGCCTCACCAGTGCGCACTAAGCACCCTCCTAGCTCCTGATGCCCAGGCATTTATGCCAGAGGCAGATCCGGGGCACCCAGCACAGCATGTCCTCTACCACCTTAACCAGACTGTGGTTTCTTTGGGGCCACATGGTGTGATGGATATTTTCCAACCATTAGCACAGCCATGAGGCAACGCAGTAGGAGCTTGACAACACTGGTTCTAATGTCCACAAGGAATCAAAGCCTAATGTGGTATACAGTGCATCTCAGTGTGTGGCAGAGGATTTATTAAAAAATTTCCAGTTTCCCCCAAAGTATTCTTTTTTAACCTGTACAGTTTCTTTCTTTTCACTTCTGGGCCTAGGGCACATTTGCATGGCTGAGCATGTGGGTCACGTGGAAGACATTCGCAGCAAGAGAAGACAGCAGAAACGTGCTCGTAGAAGGCTAGAAGCAGAACAAACAAGGTCCTGCTTTCGTGGAACAGGTGTACAACGGGCAGAGAAACTGCCCAAGTGAGTGGGACTCGTCCTCACTGGAGATGGAACAGGGAGGTGGCCGAGGGCTCAGGAGCCCTGGAAGGACTAACTGGTCAGAAATACCAGTTCTCTGCTAATGAGAAGATGAGCTTCAATAGCACACCTTAAGCCTTTTCTCCAGGGAGAGGAGTTTCCTAGACTTTCCCCTCTTTGCTACAGGTAAGGTCACCTGTGTGCACAGGCCCATTGGCAGAACGGGAGACCATATCTCCCCTGGACCGTTCTCTGGTCCCCACACTTCTGGGGTTGCTTACATGGAACGGTTACCCCTTCACCTGCCACAGGACCCTGGTCTGTGCTCACCTGGCCACCTCCTTAGGCCATTACCACCAACCGGACCTACAAAGCCCACCTTCCCCATGCCGGGCCCACTCTGCCAAGACATCATTCCTCACCCGGGTTGGACAGTATACGAAGGTGAATCAGAACAGAACTCACACCTCAGACTCACATCCTTTCTCCACTGCAAAGATAAGCTAAGAGATTTTTATTGCATTAATAATTAAGGGTATACTAATATCTCAAAATACTGATCATTTCAGACATACGATTACAATAATCATACAATGAATAGAGTAGGGATAGAACCAACACACTGGAGGAACACATCTGTATTGTACATCAAAATCAACGGCAAATATTTCTCCACTTATTCTTAGAAAAATACTAGACGCATTAGAAGCTGAAAAGCTTTGCTTAAAAATAACCTGTACATACAGGATAAGCTTAGACCTTCAAAAACCAGATAAAAATTGCAAAGTAAAACAAATGAGCCACACTGGTTAAGCATCTCGCACATACTAACTTGTATCACATACACTATACCAAGGCATTGTAGCAAAATAAAGCATCCCACTGTACTTAGGAGACTTATTCATTACATTTATTTTCATAACTACTTCATTAGAGGTCGACTGACTTTAGTCTAATTTGGGTAAAGGCTGACCTGAAAGCAAAGCTGTCTGCATGTGAGGTAAAGAAAGCAAACATTCCCAGCCAGTTTTTGCATGAACATGGATTATACCGTTTAATGCAGACCCAAGGCCAAACATTTTTTTGGGGGTAGGTTTTACTTCCATTACAGGTTCTCTTCATGTAAGATCATAAAAATACAATACAGTGTCAGGAGCCCAATTTAAAGTTACATGAGGCAGCCCCTATGAACACAGACAGCTCCCAGCCGGGGACAAGAAAAGCCAAATCCCGTGTCACTAGGGTTCCTTATGGGAAAGTCATCAGGTGCAAGGAACTAGGACAGGCTGGACAGGAGGAGACGCCACGCCTTAAGTCACTTGAGGATGATGTGATCATCTCGATGACCAAAAGAGCCCCCGCGAGAAATCCGCAACGGCGCTCGAGACTTCCCTCCACTTACAGGCAGCGCTGTAAGGCAGAGCTGAGCGGCACTGGAAAGGCTACAGAACACCTTGTTTGAAATGAAGAGCACAGGTAGTTCCCTTTTGGAAGAACAATGGATACTTTGAAAGGAAATGCTGACATTCAACCTTCAAATCTGACATTGAAAGTGACGTAGAGCCTGGGGCAGGACATGCCTCAAGGGCTTGAGAGGAAGCCCTGATTTCCCAGGGGGGTAAACTGAGGCAGCACTTGAGTTTAGAAACTCCTTTTAAGAGCACCTGAAAATGATGATACAGAATAGCAGTCCTAAAAGGACTTCGGCCAAAATGAGCTCCCAGGGACCTGCACTGGGACCTGCAGGCACCAGGGGCTGGATGCGCACACAGGAGGGGCTCAAGGCCCAAAGACGCAAATGCCTTTTGACTTGGGCAATGCTGAGACAGGGCGGAAGTCTCTTGAGGGCCACACTTTTATCATCTTTTCAGTATTTAGGGCTATTTCCTTATCTCTTATTTTTAGCTGCCTACATAGTTACCAAATCATTATCTCTGAAAGAACATTACAGACTACCAGAGTCCAAAGCCGTACTCTAGAAGGGTTATTGTGTGAAAGGTGACAACAGTCTGTTCGTCATCATGCTGGGACCAACACGTTATCAAGGCACTTCAGAACTTTGGGAAATTCTTTTGACCCATCAACTGGCAGCCACAGAACTGGACCCTCAGAGAGCACATACAGAAATCTGTATACCCTTCAGCAGACAGAGCTTACTGGCTCTTTCTGGCCCTAGAGACACCTCCACATGCCAGGGACGTGAGCTATGGAGCCCGGCAGATGCTTAGAGCTGCTTTCACTGCTCAGTCCCAGGGTGCGAGGTGTTCAGACGCTAGGAAGAGCTCACCTCCTCGGACAAGCTAGCAAGGTCTGGTCCTGCAGAGCCACTGGTGGATTCTGCTCATCGCCGCTATAAAACAGCACTGGGTGTGTGTAAGGAGCTTGTCCGTGATGCAGCCTCGAATAGAAGCAGCCCGGGACATGCTACACTCAGACAAGTCCGCTTAGGTTTAGCACAACCTGACATCGGTAACTGATCTCCAGCTTTCATGATCTTGCCACAGGGATGGGTGTTTCCTTTTTTTCTTTTTTTAAAAGATCTCCTAACTTCACTTAAATGTTCCCATCCTTACTGATGACTACGGAAGAAACTTGTAAATTCAGAGTTTACAACAAAATCTTGAAGGTAATTAGTTGGTGTTTTATCCCTTCTTCAGTGCTGTCTCAAAAGGTTTTTTTGCTATTAATTTTCATAATTTTCTGTTGCACATAAGATTTTCTCCTCTAAATGAAGAGTATGGGGGAAAATACAGACACCATTTTCCAAACAAAAAATGCTTATGAAAAAACAGAAAATCTGAAAACAAAAAAACCCCCACCCTATTAACTTGGGTTGGACCAATCAGGCCTTAGAAACAGAGAAAAAAAACCCAAACCTTTCTGCTTTATGTAGCATAATAGAACATATCATTGTTTGCTTTTGTGTTTGGACCTTACTTCTACCTAACCAAAAATTTCCCCCTTTCTCATAATTGTTCTAGTGCTCTATCAGGTTATGTCTGTATGTAGATCCTGAACGATCTGCATTTCAATGCTTCCACAACCCACTTAAAAATGACAAAAGCTGCCCGTTCCATTTTCTGATTAAAAAAACCCCCCAAAACCACACCACAACATACAGATAATGATCCAAATGGAAAAGTTAACGTGCTGTAATGACATTTGTTCGGCAACATCAAAAGCAGCAGAGATACTGAATATAATTTGCTTAAATCATAAAAATGGAGTTTGAAATCTGCATGTATAAATCACATTTAGGCTCAACGAACTGAAAGCTCTCTATAAATACATAGAAGTATGTATAAAGTGCAAAACAAGAAGTATCAACTGTGAGATGGGTAGTGTTTAGTACTCCCATTCGTCGGATTTCAAGTCGAGATAGCTGAGGATGTTCTGGGCGAGCTTCACCGCCTGTTTCCTGGCAGCCTTACACTTCTCTTCTCCTTGTGGGTCGACGGCGTCCAGGGCCAGCAGCTGCTTGGTGAGCAGCTCTTCCAGCCTGATGTAGTTCTTATCAGTTCGGTTCCCATCAAATGAAAGAACTTCGCCCTGGATCTCGGCCAAGTTTCCAAGGATGTTCCAGACCGCTTTATGGGACGGGTGCTCCTCACAAGCAAACGCCTTCCTCTTCTCCAGGGCCTCCTTCAAGTCAATGTAGGTTATCAGGGTTTGCACCTCAATCACCGCTCTTCTCCGAGCTTCCCGGATGCAAGGGTTCTTCTCGAGACTGATCTCATCCAACTGTCCAATCAGACCCTGCAATTCTGTTTTGGAGCTCAGGTATAATTCAGGAGGATTTTGTGCTTGAAGAAGTTCATTTTTTATTTCTCTCATTCTCTTGAGGACCTTTTCTATCTTTAAAATGGAATGATTCTGTCCCAGATCAAATGCATAAGTAGTATCTGCTTCCTCTTCCAAATCCAAATATTTCAATAATTTGTTGATATCTTCCACAACCTCCCGCCGGTAATTTCTGATTTCCGTACGCCCGCACACATCCAGAGCATCCAGATCCGCAATCAGGCCCGAGAGCACACAGGATAAGTGCCTGCAAGTCTCATTACTGTTCACTCCCATCAGAAGTGCAATCAGAGTGCCCCTGGCCTTGTTCACCTCACACATCACCGAGTTGATTTTGGCAACTGAAGGATGCACATCCTCGGAAAGTGGCAGAGAAGGCTGCTTTTTCATGCAGTCTTCAATGATCTCTTGCACTGCACAGATTTTGGTTAAAGTGTGATACCTCGCTTTCCGCAAGGAGATCTTCCCTCCAGTTTTGACGTGTGTCAGCCTCAGGATGATATCCTGGATGCCTTCTTCAAATTCATCAGTTACACAGTTGCCCCCACTATAAAATGGCACAATCTTCTCTTTCACCAGGGACTGGGCTTCTTTAAAGATGTTCTGTATTTCGATCCGGTGTGGGTGGTTTGCATTCTGCTCCAACTCTTTGAGAAGATGCTCTGTCTCTTGTGCTGCCCTCTTCCTCGCTTGCTGAATATCTCCTTTTCCTTCAGTATCTACAGAGTCTATTTCAAAAAGTTGTTTCGTTAGAAACCTCTCCAGTTTCTTGTAATTCTTGTCATCTGACAGACCACTGAAGCCAATTACTTGCTGTTCTATACTTTTTACTTCCTTTTGGATTTCCTGAAGCCTACTGATAGAAGGATGTTGGTTTCCCATATCCATACTTTTGCTGTGTTCGGTTTTACAAGCACTAAAAAAATGACAAGAAGGCCAAATTACACAAAGTCTCTACAGAAAGGTAATCGTATGTTCATTTATTCTGAGATTATCATTTTAAAAAGATATATTCAAGACAAAGGGCCCATCATTACTGTTATCTAAACAACAGTCATACTCAAGTACACAGAGTGTAACTAATCCACTTTCCTGAAAATCACCTACACAAAGCAGTGATTAAGAACAGACAGCATACTGCAGTGGGGAATGAGCTGGAGCTCTGAGCCTGCGAATTTCCAGTGTCCACAGCTGGAAGAGAGTAGCATATGTCTTTACAGGTGCCGCACGAGGTCAACTACCAACTTGGAGACAGCACAAGTATCTTATGTAATATTAACATTGGCCCTGGTTGTTGGCAACAGCAGGGCACCTTTGTGGATGTAAAACAGTAGCTCGTTTAACCTTCAAAGGTAACAGCGCCATCCCAGCACCCCCCTGGCCCAAAAGCTATGCCTAGTTTCCAGAAAAAGTGAAACAAATAGCAGGGGATCCCAGTCACCCCCGAAAGTCCCGCTTCTGCGGTCCCTCTCCACCCTTCACACGCTTCTACAAAGCCACCCTGTTTCCCCCGGCCCCCTCTGAGCACCTCGCAAATCCTCCCTCCACAGGGAAGGAAAGGTGAACTGGCGCTGTGTTAAAAGCACCGCCTTGGCCTTTGGAGGGTTAGTACCTCCCCCCGCCCCCAAACGCGACAACTATGAACAATTCGTTCATTAGCCTCCCATTCAGAGTCCGGAATGGCTTCACGCATTTTTTCTCCCCCATGCTCTTGAGTTTCTACCAGCCGGCTCACGCAGGAGGACGGACGATCGGTTGACACCAATCCCTTGCGGGTGTTCGGGCCAGGAACATGCCCCTGGAGGCCCACGAAGGGCGGGCTGCCCGGCCTCTTTCCCCCCCCCGCCTTCTCGCCCTTCCCTGCCAGCACTTTACCCAGAAGAGGTCTAAGCTGGTTTGGTCTTGGCTTCCCGTGGGTGAGGTGGCGAGGTGGAAGGTCAGCCCTTTACGGGGTGCGGCACCGGAGCTGGGCCCCGAGCTGCATCCCTCTCACCCCTGCCGGCTAGGTCTGAACCGGGCGGCCGGTGAAGGGGCCGGCGGTGGCGCGGCAGCTACTGGCCGCAGCGGCCGCTCCGGGCGTCTCGCCGGGACCCCCGACGCGCCCGCCGGCCCTGACCTCACAATGGCCCGCGCGGGGAGGGGGTGGCCGCGCTCGGCCGCGCCGCCGAGCCCCCCCGGGCGGGATTGGAAGCCCCGGGAGAGGGGCGAGCGGGCCGGCCCGCGTCCGACGCAGGCAGGACGCGGCGCCTGGCCGAGGCCGGGTCGGGCGGGAGCGGGGGGCGCGCCGGCGCAGGGGCGGCTCGCGGGCCCTCCAGCCGCCGCTCGGCGCTCACCTGTGCCTCCCGCGCCATCGCGCGCTCCGCCGCCGACGTCCAGCGGCTCCGCGGCTCCCGCCGTCGCCAGTCCCGCGGCCCCGCCCCAGGCCGAACAGCCCTCGCCCTGGGAAATCGTCCTCCGGCGTCGCGCCGCACCGCGCCCGCGCCGACGCCGCCACTACCGCCTGGCACGGCAGCCCGGAACGGCCCGCGGCCCAGGAGCAGCCGCCGATCCCCGCCCCCGCGCCGCGTCGCCCGCGAGACCGGTCTTACGCGGGGAAAGCGCACGGTCGGCCGCGCCGCTCACTCCCTCCGGCTTTGCGACCGTGCCGTAAGGCAGCCCCTCGCGCGGGCGCGGCTTTGCCGTGCGCTGCGGCAGCCGAGGGACACTGGCCATGGCGGCCTTGCGGCCTTCGAGCAGGGCTTTTCTCCCTCCGCTCTGCCGTGCCTTCGCTGGCCCCGGCTGTCAGCTCGCCCCTGAGCGCGGCGCGGAGCGCAGGGATGCGGCGTCCGGCCGGGTAAGCGGGGGTCCTGCAGAGGGCGGGCCGGGAGGGCGGGCCGCCAGAGGACTGACCCAGGGACACCTGTGGGCCCCGCACCCCTTTGTGCCCGGCTGCGGCGTCAGCCGGACTCCCCAGGAGCAGGGCCCGCGGGGGGCGGGGGCGCGCAGAGTGGGCAGTCCCCCGCGCGAGGGGCGCCCGACCTCCCGGCCTCGGAGCCCCCCAGTGTCCCGCGTCGGCCGCCTCGGTGGCATGGAGCCGAGGGTGTCGCTGCCACCCCGGGGACTGTTGACAGAACTTTTGCTAATGCAGCAGAGTCAGCTGGCGAGTTTGTACGCACCTTTTCGCTTCTCGAAAATAATTCTTATAGTTGAGCTCTTGATGTGCACAGCATGTTTTGTTGTTTTGGTCTGCGTTTTGTCTTCGTTAAGATTATTAGTGGTTTTCTTCAAGCGATGGCACACTTAATCGTTGTATTTTGTAGGACTGCCCCTTGAATAGTTTTTCTTGTTTGGAAACTATGTGCATACGTGCATTTCACGGGTGGAAGGTTAATGGTTAATAACCTGTAGCAACAAAGAATGACAGTTTTTATAAATTGCACTTCTTTGGGGAAGGGTGTTTTGTCTACGAAGTCCTAGGCTTTGATTCCAACCGTCGTACGAAAATGTTGACAGGTGTGGAATGGGCTGCAGATAAAATATTTAAACAAAGCATACATATACTAATCCCGAATTTGCCAACAGGCTAAGGATGGAGGCGGGGGAACCTGGGGTAGAAAAGCCAGTTGAGAATTCCAGAATGTGCCTGCCTGTAAATTTTCATTTATTTTAGTTTGTTACTGCAAGCTGCTTTTATAAACGCAGCTTTGAAGTTCTGTCTAGTTTTTAGTTTAGACAAGAAGTTAGCAGGGCGACTGGTCACCTGACTCAGTTCCCTGTTACAGTGGCCACAGCTGTGACTTACATTCCTACAACATAGAAACCCACCCAGCATCTCAGTCTTTGGGCAGGAAGATTTTTCATGTATTTGAAAATGCTCTGGAAGGGCAAACTTCACATCAACAAGTGTCCCTAGGATGAGGACTTACCTTAGCTTGTTTTGTGAACTAGTGCTGGAAAAAAGAACACACAAGGGGCACCTGGCTGGCTCAGTCGGTGGAGCGTGCGACTCTTGATCTCGGGACTGTGAGTTCCAGCCCCGACATTGAGTGTAGAGATTACTTAAAAACAAAATAAAAAAAAAAAAAAAAAAAAAGAACACCACACAGAGTTTTCTTTATTGTCACATAGCCTTTGGTTAAAATAAATCTTACCGTGGGTCTAATCCTCAAGATGAGACCTTTCTTCCTATTGTAGTCCCAAGTGACTAGGAAGCTGGTGCCACTCACCTGTCTAAGCCTGTGATGGTGTTGATTGTGATGATGCTGAAAAGTGAAGCAGCTGGCCCATGAGTCAGACCTTGTTCTGTTCTAGCATTATGACTTGTGGTGTTGTGTTTTTTTGTTTTGTTTTGCTTTTTAGGATGTGTGCCCCATTATGCTAGATATTATATGGAACTTAAAGGAACAGTTCTTACTTCAGGGCATTTTGTGTTTCCTATGTGTTTGGTCTTGTCTTTGAGTGTTTGCTGAGTATATGGCTGGTTCTCCAGGTAATTAAATTCCTGCAGCACAGAGAGATTGTTGTCTTTCAGACTTTGATTTTAAATATTAGGTCTTCTTAAAAGTAACAGGTTGTAAACCTTCTGTTTTCTTTATTTAAATAGATGTATTTTAATCCTGTATGTTTAGTTCACACAACATATTTTTAATTAACTTTTTTTTTTTTAAGATTTTATTTATTTATTTGACAGAGAGAGACACAGCAAGAGAGGGAACACAAGCAGGGGGAGTGGGAGAGGGAGAAGCAGGCTTCCCGCTGAGCAGGGAGCCCGATGCAGGGCTCGATCCCAGGACCCTGGGACCATGACCTGAGCCGAAGGCAGACGCTTAACGACTGAGCCACCCAGGCGCCCCTTTAATTAACTTTTTAAATTTAATTCCAGTATAGTTACCATACAGTGTTATATTAGTTTCAGGTATGTAATATAGTGATTCAGCACTTCCATACATGACCCGGTGCTCATCACAAGTGCGCTCCTTAAGCCCCATCCTCTGTTCCGCCACCCCCACCCCCATAACCATCAGTGTGTTCTCTGTAATTAAGAGTGTTTCTTGGGACGCCTGGGTGGCTCAGATGGTTGAGCGTCTGCCTTCGGCTCAGGTCATGATCCCAGGGTCCTGGGATCGAGCCCCGCATCGGGCTCCTGGCTCAGCGGGAAGCCTGCTTCTCCCTCTGCCTCTCTCCCTGCTCATGCTGTCTCTCTCTCTGAATCTCTGTGTCTCAAATGAATAAATGAAATCTTTAAAAAAAAGAAGAGTCTGTTTCTTGGTTTGTCTGCCTCTTTTTTCTTTCCTTTCTTTGCTCATTGGTTTTGTTTCTTAAATTGCACACATGAGTCTTTCACTGACTTATTTCAGTTAGCCTAATACTCTCTAGATCCATCCATGTTATTGCAAATGGCAAGATTTCATTCATCAATCAGTGGACCCTTGGGCTGCTTCCGGATCTTGGCTGTTGTAGATAACGCTACTATAAACACAGGGGTGCATGTATCCCTTTGAATTAGTGTTTCTGTATTCTTTGGGTAAATACCCCATAGTGGGATTATTGGATCGTAGGGTAGTTCTATTTTTAACTTGTTGAGGAACCTCTGTACTGTTTTCCACAGTGGCTGCACCAGTTTGCATTCCCACCAACAGTGCAGGAGGGTTCCCCTTTCTGCACATTCTCACCAACGTCTGTTGTTTCACGCTACATATTTTTCATTAATTCTTTGTTCTCCATTGGAATTAAGGAGAGCTGCTTTTAGGGTCTACATGATTTATTCCCATCTCCTATCTTTGTACCACTTTTTCTTCCAAACCCAACTTAAAAAGTCAGCTCTTGGGGCGCCTGGGTGGCGCAGTCAGTTAAGCATCTGACTCTTGATTTTGGTTCAGGTCGTGATCTTAGGGTCACAATATCGAGCCCCACGTCGGGCTCGGGCTCGCGCTCAGCGGTGTCTGCTTAAGATTCTCTCCCTCTCCCTCTGCTCCTCCCCCATACCCTCTCTCTCAAATGAATAAATAAATTTAAAAAGAAAAGTCAGCTCTTTGGGCGCCTGGGTGGCTCAGTCGATTAAGTGCCTGCCTTCGGCTTAGGTCATGATCCCAGGGTTCTGGGATCAAGCCCCACATCGGGCTCTCTGCTCGGTGGGAAGCCTGCTTCTCCTTCTCCCTCTGCCTGCCACTTCCCCTGCTTGTGCATTCTCTCTTTCAAATAAATAAAATCTTTAAAAAAAAGAAAAGGGCCACCTGGGTGGCTCAGTTGTTAGGCGTCTGCCTTTGGCTCAGGTCATGATCCCAGGGTCCTAGGATTGAATCCCACATCTGTCAGGCTCCAGGCTCAGTGGGTAGTCTGCTTGTGGGATTCTCTCTTCCTCTCCCTCTTCCCCTCCCCTTTCTCAAATAAATAAATCTTAAAAAAAAAGAAAAAATCATGTGGTTAAATTCCATTATTCTTGAGACAAGGGCCCGAGGCCCAGGGAGGTGGAGTGACTGGCCTGGTGTTACCCAGCAGAATCAGGGCTAAAGGGAGCTGTTCTCACTCTCAGTCTGGTGTTCTCTTGTCGCCACATGCTTTTTCATCGAGTGAAGTGATTACAGGGTTTCCCCTTATTCTGTTAATGTGGGCAATTGCACTCATTTCTTGTTACTTATGGGAAATTTAAAACATGCAAAAATAGAAGATTATAAAGAATTGCTGTGTATCCAGTACCCTGCTTGTACAGTTATCTACTGGGGGGTGTTTATCTCATCTTTACCCCATCCCAACCCCCCCTCCCAGATAATTTTGTGGCCAATATCAGACTGCATACTTCATTTGTAACTATTTCCATATGTATCTTTAAAAGATACGGATTTTGGGCACTTGGGTGGCTCAGTTGGTTAAGCATCTGCCTTCAGCTCCGGTCATGATCCCAGGGTCCTGGGATCGAGCCCCCCATCAGGCTCCTTGCTCAGTGGGGAGTCTGCTTCTCCTTCTACCTGCCGCTCCCCCTGCTTGTGCTCTCTCTCTGTCTCTCTCTGACAAATGAATAAATAAAATCTTGTATATAAAGGGACGCCTGGGTGGCTCAGTTGGTTAAGCGTCTGCTTTTGGCTCAGGTCATGATTCTAGGGTCCT